CAGAAGGAGCATCAGGGTTGCTACAGTGACTACATTTTAAAGAGGTTTATCTTCCAGGGGCATGATAAAAAAATGGCAGTTTTCAAGTAACAGAAATGAGTAAACTATCCCTGAATTTGATACAATTTGTCAGAGCCCTCAGAGAAATGTAAACATGAAATAAACACTATGATCAATTTATTCAAAACAGTTTATGAATTAATCAAAAGAATGGGGAACGTCTATAACATGCAGTGGCAAATAAAACAAACCAGGGGACTTCCGCTTCTGACCGAAACAGAACAAGGAATGGATTCATCCTCCTGCCTCAAACAAAGAAAAAAACAAATACAGAAAACAGAGTACACGGAACAATGATTTTCAACACACTGGACATGGGCAGCAAAGGGGAGTGAGCCCCACAGCTATCCCCGTTGGAGGCCTGGAGCGTCCCTGAGCGGTGGTGTGGACAGAGAGAACGAGACCTCGCCAGCCGCCCGACAGACCGGGGCAACTCAAGTCGGCAGGACAGACAGCAGGGAAGGACAGAGCTGAAGGGAGAGGCCTTGGGCCGCATTCACAGGTCCGTCAGTGCATGAGTGTAAGGAAGGTACTCAAGAGAAATGGAAGAACCATCTGGAAGGATTGGAGGGAAGGGCAGCCTAGTCGCCCCTGCAGAAAAGATGATGAACTTGAAGGCATCTCTGTAAACTGTCAAAATGAAATACTCAGAGAAAAAAGGGTTAACAATAAAAAGAGCAGCAGGGAGCTGGGGACAACTCAAGGCACCTCATAGATGTGTGATTGGAGACCCTGAGAGAGAGAGGAGGGCATGGGGTGGGGGCAGAAAATATAGCTGAAGAAATAATGGCTGAAAACACCCTCCAATTTGGTTTTCTTTTCTTTTTTTTTTTTTTAAGATTTTATTTATTTGAGGGAGAGAGAAAGAGCACGTGCACACAAAAGCAGGGGGGAGGGGCAAAGGGAGAGGGAGAAGCAGACTCCCCACTGAGCAGGGAGCCTAATGTGGGGTTTGATCCCAGGACCCCGGGATCATGACCTGAGCCGAAGGCAGACGTGTAACCGAATGAGCCACCCAGGTGCCCTGAACATACCCCCAATTAGATGAAAACTGTGAGCCCCTGCAGGACCCCGAGCACAAGCCACAGAAAACCACACCAGGGTACGGCGTACCGAGATGCTCAAACCCAGCAATACAGAAAATGCACTGATGCATCCCCCGTCTCACACACAGACCAAGACAAGGCTGGCTGCAGGTTTCCTGTGGGAAACAAGGTGAGTGACTGGGCAGTGGAGGGACATCTGTAAAGTGTCGAATAGACCAAACCCAAATGAACCTGTCAAACTACAACTGCGAACCCAGCAAGAGTTCTCTCAGAAACAAAGATTGAGGGCGCCTGGGTGGCTCAGTTGGTTAAGCGACTGCCTTTGGCTCAGGTCATGATCCCGGAGTCCCTGGATCGAGTCCCGCATCGGGCTCCCTGCTCAGCGAGGAGCCTGCTTCTCCCTCTGACCCTCCCCGCTCTCATGTACTCTCTCTCTGTCTCATTCTCGCTCTCTCAAATAAATAAGTCTTAAAAAAAAAAAAAAAAAAGAAAAAGAAACAAAGATTGAGTGCAGATCTGTTCAGACATCGGACGCCTGAAGGAGTTCATCGGGAGCGGGCCATGCGACGAGCAGTGGTAAAGGACGTTCTGAGAGCAGGACAGTGGTGCTGGGCAGAAATTGGAGTCTGTACACAGAAACGAAAAGCACCACAAATGGTAATTATGTGGGTGGGGAAATAAAAAAGATTTTTTCTTATATAATCTCTTTTAAAAATATAAGAATGAGTTTTCATACAAAAACAATGACACTGTACTGTGGAGTATATGACCCGTGTATACGTGAGATGTGTGACACAGTGTGAAGGCCAGGATGGGAGAGAAGACAGTACACGCCCAAGTCTCTAAATCCCTGTGGAGGGTCACTTGAAGGTGGCCTGTGGGAAGTTTATAAACCGAAGTTCAAAAATAACAAAATAAAGGGTTATGGCTAAGAAGCCAACGTAGGAGATACAAGGGAATCACAAAAATGTTAAGTGAGTCCAGAAGAAGTCAGAAAATGAAGGAAAAAGGAACAAAGAATATGGGGGACTGATAGAAAACAAACAGCTACGTGACAGACTTAAATCTAAATACATTAATAATCACGTTGAACGTAAATGGTCTGAGTATCCCAATGGAAAGATTATCAGGTTGTATTAAAAAATCCAGACCTACAAGAAATTAACTTTAAATACAAAACACAAATAGCTTAAGAGTAAAAGGATGAGAAGATACCCTTCAGATTAGCTAACGGGATGAGGAAGGTACCTTAAATTAGCTAACACTAATCTAATGAAAGCCGGAGTGGTTGTGTTGGCATCAGACAAAGTAGACTGCGGACAGAAGGACCCTGCGAGAGATAAAGAAGACCATTTTGTAATAATAAAGCGGCCAACTGCTCTGGAGGACATGACAACACTCAACATTTATGCACCCAACAACAGAGTTTCAAAACAAACAAAGCTAAAATGGATAGAACTTCAAGGAGAGACAGACAAATCCATGCTACGCTGTTGCATCAGTTGTAAGATAGAAGATTAACACACACAAATCCATTTTTTTCTATAAACTAGCAATGAACAACCGTGAACTAACGTTAAAACATTTAAAGCAGTATAGAAAACATGGCACACTTCAGGATAAGTCTGACAAAAGATCTGTAACCTGTACCTTGGGAACTTACAAGACCCTGTGAATGAGACACACCGAAGTGGAGAGAGGCACCTGGCTCATGGGTCCAACAGCTCCATTCTGTTAGGCCGTCATCGACCTTCAAATAAATCAGCAAGTCCCACACCATCCTAATCAAAACCCCAGCAGACTTTTTGTGTGGAAAATAAGCAACTGATTCTAAAATTCATGTGGAAATGCAAAAGGACCTAGAACAGTGACAACAACTTTGAAAAGAAGAACAAGGTTGGAGGAGTAACACTACCTGATTTCAAACTCATTACAGGGCTGAAGCAACCAGGACTGCGCGGTGCTGGCATAAAGATAAACACATGCATCAATGGAACAAAACAGCTCAGAAATAGACCTGCACATCCATGGAGACTGATTTTTGATAAAGGTGCAAAGGCAATTCAGTGGGGGAATAAAATTACAAAACTTCTAGATGAAAATATACAAGAAAATCGTTGGGATCTTGGGTTAGTCAAAGATTCCATAGATAAGACACTAAGAGCAGAACCCGTAAGAGAACAAACTGATCACTGGGACTGCATCAAGACTAAATACTTGTGCTATTCAAAGGACGTCACTGGAAGAGCGAAAAGACAAGTCACAGGCTGGAAAGAGATACTTGCAGAGCACGCGTCTGATAAAGGACTCACACTTAGAATATGTAAAGACTCTCAAACCTCATACTTTAAAAAAACACATTAAAAGATGGGCAAAAACGTCGAACACATACTTCAGAAAGAAGGTGTAGATGTCCCATGAGCACAAGGAAGGATGCACGGCGAGCGGCCGCCCCAGGCCCCCTTGGATGGCTGAAGTGACCAAGACTGAGCTGCACCACACGCTGCTGAGGACGGGGCGTACCTGGCCCTCCCGCACACTGTGGAGAGAATGTAAAATGGTACAGCCACTTTGGGAAGCAGTGTAGACAGGTCTTAAAAGGTTAAACATATACCTATCACATGGTCCAGTCGCTCCACTCCCAGCTGTTTATTTATCCAAGAGAAACGAAAGTAGGCATCCACACGGAGACTCGTGCGGGAATGCTCACAGCACTTGTGTGTGCGTGTGTGTGTGCGTGTGTGTGTGTGTGAGTCTGCCCCACTAACACCTCCTTGCTGTGGTCTGGAGCCACTCCCTGGGGCCCAGCTCCTCACCGTACCAGGCAACCCTTGGGGTCGGTGACACGCTGGGCACCCAGGCACCCTCTTCCTGACTCCTGGTGGGGGTCCTGCATGGAGACCCCGCAGTGCTCCCCAAATCACTCCTGGGCCACTGCTTCCATGTCTCTCTGGCTCAGACTGTGCTCCCATCACAAACCTCAGAGCCCCTGTCTCATGTCACCCCCAGCAAGTTCCAGCTGAGTGTTTATTCTTGGCTGCTGCCGCAGGCCTGCTGCTCACGGGTGGAGAGTCATCTTCCCAGAGCTCAGACCAAGAGCCTTCCTGCCTGCCTGCACCCCCTCTTTCACAGCCCACTTCTGATCTGTTAGCAAGCCTTAGTTCTTCTTCAAGATACTTCTGGAACCCAGCGCTCCCAGCCCAAGCCGCACCTTCCGTCAGTCCCTGCAGCCTCCCGTGCTCAGCTGGCCCCACGGGCTCCACTCCTGGGCCTCCTGCCCTCCTCTTCCTACCTGCACAAGCCCCAGCTGCCCCCTCCACCTGCTCTTCTCCAGAACGCCCACCTCAGGGGCCACACGTTGCCTACCCACGTAGCACTGCACTTCTGACGCCCTCCCCACCACGGCTTTCTCCTACTTTGTGGCACCTTTTGTTTTCTAAGACACTTATTCAACCCATCCACTGGCCATCCACTGCCCCTGTGCCCGGAAGAAGGCCTGGGTTCACCACAGCCCCACCAGCTCCTGGGCCCTGAGCACCCGCCCTCGGCCAGGTGGCCTGGGCACACAGGGCACACAGGGCACACAGGAAGGGCCACAGGGCACACAGGAAGGGCCTCAGGCCTTTGTTGTTTGCCCTGGGCGAGTGTGGGGGCTATCCACGGTGGGCCCGTGTCCCACCCAGAGCTTCAGTGTCCAGAAGAGGCACAGAGGCTTTCAAGGTAAGCACAGGTGAGCAGACAGTTCTGCAGTTTGCAAAAGCAACACGAGAATGACCTTGCAAATCAGACATTCAAAAAGGGTCGGGGAAGAGACGAGATGCTGATCGGTGTGATCAGCCGGCAGGCCAGCCTAGGGTGTGTGTGCGTGCGCACACGAGCCCTGCGGCTGGGGGGTGCAGACAGGAGCCAGAGCCGGTGAGGGGCAGCGCATGGTATTTATTGAACTACAACGCGGTGCAGAGGCGCTTCCTGGCCAGCCCCCCGAAGACGCCTGGGGGCCCACGTGTGCGTCCCCAGCATGTGACCATTCAGTGAAGTCAGGACTCCAGCACCCCCACCTCGCCTGCACTGTGACCCAGGACCTGGTGCTCCGTTCCCCCTCCCCTGCCCCCAGTGCAGACCTGTGTGGACACGTGGGCCGAGCAAGCACAAGCTCCGGGGGGGGTGGGGGGGCCGAATCAGCAGGGGGTGCTGGGTGGGAGCAAACCGGCTCAAAGCAACCACAGTTCTAGGCGGTCTAGGAGAGACGGCTTGTGGGAAGTGCTGTCAAAACGTCAAAACAATTCTTAAACAGGTACATGGACACTAACGGACAGTATTTCTAAAATGTCACAGATGGGAGTGCCCCCAAAGCATTTAAAATAATTAACACCGCATGCCAGTGCATGAACACGTGAGCATAAATTAATTCCGACAGAAGTATCAGGGACAGAGCCTGGAGCTGACACACAGATATAATATAGATCTGCTTCGTTAGCGTGTGTATGTCTATGGCATAGACGACTTGTTAGTAAAGAAAACCTCTATTTATATTTGCGACGAACGGCGGGCGGGCGGTCTGTACAGAGTGTGCGAGCCGGGTGGAGGTCAGGGTTCATGGGTCGGAGGCCATCGGGCAGGATTAGAGCGCACCCATCCCAGTGACCTCAGATGTCAGCCTGGAAGACACAAAGGCACAGGGGGACAGGTCACAGTGTCCTCATAAAACGGGACCAGAAGCGAACAGCTCGCTCTGTGTGTTCTCACAGCCTTCGAACCCACCTCCCTCTCGGTTGTTAGATGTGTGGCCATGAGCTGGAGACCAAAGTGGGGTGGAGGGAAGAGGACCCACTGGGGACCAGGTTGGTGGGGTCTGCCTTCCCTGTCACCACGTCAGGGGTGTGACACTAACCACCTGGACAAGCATCGGCCACCACGACCCTTTCTTCAGCAGCTGCTCTCGGAGGGGAGCCAGGGTCGCACTGCCCACGGCACGGAGGGGAGGCTGCCTCCCACGTCCACCTGGGCCTCCCCAGAGCCCAGCTGATCTTCTGAGTTAAAGAGCAAGGTCTGGCCCCGGGTGTGGTCACACTATGTTCTCTGACACGTCCCTGGGCAGGGAAGCTGAGGCGCATGCTCAGCCCCAGGAGCTCACCCGCCCCTGGTGTACCCCTCTGACCCTGACAGTTTCCAGATTCGCTGCTTGGCAAGGGTCTGGGTGGCAGCGGCAGTGTCTTTACAACCACAAGGCGTGTGAGAGGAGAGTGGTCTAGTAATGCGCTCTCTGAAACTCCCTAACCCAGTTAGCCCAAGTGTGTGACCTCGGCCGTGCAGCCATGGCCCCTCTGGAAACGCTCTAGGCTGTAACCACCTCACCCCCCCCAAGAATGTCCAGGGTGAACGGTCAGGTGTGAACGTGTGGAGCGGGTGTAGGGCCCCATGTCTATGTGGAGACTGTCTCCATCACATCCCACCCCCATGCCCAGCCAGGAGAGCGAAGCCACCAGGGAGGACCGGGCAGGGTCTGGGCTCTCGCCATGGCGAGCCAGTCCCTCTGAGAGTCTTGTCCGGCCAGCGACACATCAGACAGGGCCTTGTGAACACTCACCTGGCATTGATGAGGTACTGGGCAAGGCTGATGTTGGCTGGGGTCCCTGTGATGGTGATCTGGCGCTCGGATGACCCTTCTGTGGCATTGGCAATTTTGATCTGAGCTCCAGACATCTGTCGAATTTCATTGATTTTGGTCCCTTGGCGTCCAATTATGCAGCCTATTAGCTAGAAAAAAGGACGGAGGACTTCCTTAGAGAAGAGCCCCTCACCCCGAGCTGAGTGCGTGCAGAGCCCTAGGGAGGCCCCAGAGGGAGGACAGCCCAGCCTTGGTGTCCACCCCACTCCACAAACTCCGCCCTCCCAGAAGGACGAGGCACTGCCCATCCAGGAGGCAGGGTGCCAGGCAGCTTTCCTGCTGGGGGTGAGGCTGCGGATGCCCGGGCTCTGCCTGCTGCAGCGAGTCCTGACAAGTCCCAGAGGGGAGGGGCACCCGCTGCGTCACCTCCCCTGGTGTCCTTCGGGGACCTGGGAGATGGGGAGCATGCAGGCGTCAGCACCAGGGCCCTCTTGGCCGTGTCCTCGAGGTGGAGAAATGTGTGTCTGAAGCCAGAGTTTAAAGCTCTCTGCTGCCTAAAACCCGTCTTCTGATGAACTTGGGTGAAGTTCTCAGGACATGTCGGATGCTCCCTATCCTTCCCACTGTGTGGCCTCTGGCCGCCCTGGGCCATCTGAAGGAAGAGGCGGTCATCAAGAATCAAGCAGCCAGAAGGACAGGAGCCAGGGCTGCTCGGGACACACAAGGAGCCACGCGCAGGGCTGGGCTGCAGTCTGAGCTCTAGACCAGCTCTCTGAGGCGGCCCACCCTGCTGGGGGGGGCAACTCGGGCCCCAGAGAAGCCTCCACGGAGGAGGCAGCTGCACCTCTCCATGTTCACTGTGGGCAGAACCGAGTCCCTCCCTGAGCCGGGGCCGCTGAGGTCAGCTCGGAGAGCAGGCACTGAGCAGGGCAGGGCCGGTGCAGCGGCTTCTGAGTCGGCCTCCCCTGGCCCGGGGGGTAAGCAGCCGGGCCGAGAGTGTCAGCAGGGCTAGAAGCCCGCTTCTGTGGGATGGCAAGAGGAAGGAAGCCCATTTACAATCACACACACCTCTGGACCTATTTAATGACACCAGCTCTTGTCCCGGAGGTGACCTCCAGCTTCTCAGTCCTCTCCTTTCCTCGGTTAGGTCAGCTGCCTCACTAGAGTCTCTCCACATGTCCAGAGAAGCCTCCACCCCAGGGCTGCTCAGCTTCCTCCACCTCCTGCCCCCAGCTCCCAGGCCCCGCCCCTGACCCCAGGCCCCGCCCCCAGCCCACGCCCCTGTCCCCCAGGCCCCGCCCCCAGCTCCCAGGCCCCGCCCCGCCCCGAGGTCCGGGCGGGAGCCGCTACTGTCCCTCCCTGGCCCGGAGTCCTTGTCCCGCCGCAGAGACACCTGGAGCGCTGCCCTCCGACCGCGCCGGGCAAGGCAGGGGCTGCTGGGCTCGTGGGCTGCATGGGGGCAGCAGCCCTGGCCCCTGACGGAGGGGGACGTGGGCCAGCCGAGTCCCCAGAAGATGCCCGCCCTCAGGAGGATCCTCACACTTCGTGGCCCCTAGCAGCCCAGTCTCCCTTCCAGAACCTTCCCCCTTCAGTGCAAGTGGCGTTTGCGAGGCTCCTGCAGAGCGGCTTGTTTTCTCCGATAACCCTGAGGAGACGTCTCTCTGGCACGCAGTCCCCACGCTCTCTCAAACTGCTTCCTGAGGACGTCCTCGCGCCCAGCCCTCTCGTCTTCCCTGGGGCCTCACCCCTGCGGGGCCCTGCGCTGCCCCCCAGCCGGCCCGGGGGCTCCCGAAGCCGCCCCTCACTCCCCACTCTTGTGGAACGCGTCCCTCCTCCAGAGAGAGCAGAGGGGTGCAGACGCCGGGCTGGCCCACGGCTCTCCTGCGGGCAGCAGTGTCCTGGGCAGCTGGAAGGGCCCTCGGACCCAGCGGGCGCGGGCCCTCCCAGCCCTGCTCTGCAGCCGTGGGCCACGCAGGCCCGTACGGCTGGGCTGCCGGGGCCTCCTGACCCCAGGCGCATGCAGCCGTGCCCAGCTCTCTCCTCTCAGCCGCTGGGCTTCCACGGGAGCCTGAAGGGAAGTCACAGAGGCACTTTCAAGGACCATGGCCCCTTCACTGCTTTGCCCCTGGAACCAGCCAGGCACGAAGTCCTAAGAGAAGCACAGAGTTGTGGCTTCTCCTAACTGGGTTCAGGGCTGCACCCCAGGGCTCTGTGGGAACACACCTTTCTCTCATCCCGGTGCCGCCTGGGTGAGCCCTTAGATCTCTGGGTGATTCTGGGGTTGGGACCAGGGACAGGGCCCAAGTGTGGGGTGACCACAGGCACAGGGACAGTGAGGGCCCAACGGCGACATCGGCCACGGGACCCAGAACGCCACCAGAGGCAGCTCCACACACAGCTGCCGGCCCTGACCCGGCCTGGGTCCCCGTCACCATGCCAGCAGGTGGCTCTGCTGTGGAAGCTGCACGTGGTTTCGGTTACCACACGCTCCCGCCATCCGGAAAGTCCTGCTGTGGTGGCCTGTGGGTGTGGGCAAACTCCCCTCCGCACAACCTAGCTTTGACCAGGGGCACGGATGGGCATCATGGGAGATGCGCATCTGAACACGGGCTGATGCACGCACGCCTCCCCTGGGGGGCCGGGGTGAGCATGAGAACGCCCCCTAGCAGTGCTGTCACCCAAATCCTCCTCCCAGGAAGGGCCCCCTCGGAGCTTCCTTCTGAGGGGCTCCCCGGGAGGAGGCGGGCGAGGTGGCGCCCATGTGCTCCAGGGGGCCCCACGAAGCGGCACCCTGCTCGCTCTCCGAACGAGCCTCATCCTCTTCCTCTTGTTTTCTGGGCTCATCTCACTTTTGGAAGGAAGGCTTGGGCAAGAAGACTCCTGTCATTAGTGAAGTGGTCTCGGTAAAGGCTCAGAGGAGAAGCCCCATGGGTGCAGTGTGGCCCCTGCATTTAGCATGTGGGTGAAGATTCGGGGGCTGCCTGCAGCCCAGCTGCTCGAGGATCATCACGTGGGAAGGCAGTGTCGGGAGCTCCCAAGAGCAGAAACACTCTCGCCTTGAGACGCAGGAGCGCGTCACCTGCAGCCGGCCACCAGGGCCCTGATGAGGGCGGCGTTTCCGTGCGGAGTGTGGGGGGGTCCCTTCCTCTGGTCCTGCGGCTCGCTACTCTCCCGCCCTGCGGCTCATCCCTGTCCGTACTCGGGATGGGCCATCCCCTTGAAGCCACAACTCTGTGCTTCTCTTAGGACTTCATGCCCGGCTGGTTCCAGGGGCAAACCGGTGAAGGTCTGGAAGGCCTCAGTTCTAGGGCAGGAAAGGCCAGCTGACACGTGAGCTGGGAAGGCCATGTCCCCCAAGCGGCCGCCTTCCTGTGCGACTGAGCCGCTGCCCCTCAAGGACATGTGGCCCACACCCACCCTGGTGTCTCAGTTTCCGATCGGAGTCAGCATCCTTAGGATAACCCAGGGGTTCGGAGGACAGGGCAGGTAGGGCTGAGCATGTGGAGGGTGGCTCATAAGGCCACTTTGCAGCTGAGCCCTGGGCAGGGACGGGCTGTGGGCACCAGGTGTGGGCATCCTGCTACAGCAGACCCTCCAAGCGTTCCTGGCCCACCTGCTCTTCAAGGGTCAACCCCGAAGTCCCCTTAGCTCCTTTCCTGTCTAGTCTCTAGGGAGCGTGACATCACGTGCCTTTTGTGGCCCCTATACCCAGCTGTGGAAAGGGCGGGGAGCGGTCCCAGGCAAGTCAGGGCTGGCTGAGGACTCAGGCATACTCACATCATTGGGAATGGTGAGCTCGTGAGTGCTGGCCGGGGGGCTGGCGTCCAGACCTGGGCACACCAAGGGGACAAGGTTAGGCTGGCAGCAGGCTGCTCACATCGCGCCCGGCACCCGCCCCCATGGAGCCCACGGGTGGGGCACGTACGCCCAGGGGCCCAGGCCCTGTGAGCTCTCAGTCCCAAACTGCAACCAATGTCTGGAGTCCCAGCTTCTCTCAAAACAAGGACAAAGAGCCTCCGCACAGTGACGTTCCACGTTTTCATTTTGGGCACATGGTGATTTCACTCCTGTGCCATGCCGTGCGATGTGGGGATGCCCTTCACAGACCTCTGGGGGACCATGCTGAGTGGCCAAGTGTGTGTCCTGGGCCCCCTGTGCACCCCCAGGCCGGCTGCTTCTCCTCCCCCTCTGCCCCAGCAGAGCCACGGGCCCCGCACCGCCAGCCCCGCAGCCCAGCCCCGTGGCCCCACCACACAGGCAGCTCTCCCACCCCGACAGCCCCATGGATTCAATGGTCAACCAGTAAGCCGTGAGGCCCAGTGGAGACCATGTGCTTCTGTGCTGAAAGTGCAGACACAGGCCTAACTGATCACCAGGCCCCCAGTTTTTATCTTTACAATCTCAGCTCGGGGCCTAGCAAATCAGAGACAACTTCTCAAACAGCTTCTCATAGGACGAGATCTACTCTTGCTCCCGAAACAGGGACAATAGAACATGCGGTGGGCTTCGATAGGACCAGCGGGCTCCCTGCCCTCAGCACTTCTGTCTCTGTCTCCGGAGGCATCTAGAGCACCAAGTCCATCCACAGCGGATGCCCCCAATCCTCCCGGCAGGCCCCACGCGTGCCTGGAGCCTCCACCTGCAGAACCACCATCGCAGCCCGGCTCATACCATCAGAATATTCCGGAGCCTGAGCCCTCTCTTCTCCTCTCTCCTGGTTCCTGTCTCTGCCTTTGCCCCTCAGTCTACTCTCCACAGGCCCAGAGAGGCCTAAGGAAACACAAGTCAGATGCCTTCAAGACTGTGCCAAGCCCACCCTGCCTCCCCATGTTCCTGCCATCGGCCTCCCCGCCCACCCCCATCCCTCCCCTCTTCCTGCTTCTTCCTCCACCGCACTTGTGTCCCCAACACTAGACACACCGTGGTCATCAGTCTCTGCCACGAGAGACCCCACCAGGGCCCGCCGTGCTGGCGGGTCAGTTGGCAAGTGCTGAATGAACCAGTTCATCCCCAATTGTCATTTCCTTTTGCACAGCTAAATCTAGAGTTTCTGTGCTTTATCTTCTTTTCAGAGAGGTATTTTCAATACAGTTATCTGGTTGTTCGACCGTCTACATACATTCCGTAAATAGTGACATGCAAAATGTCATCTACGAAATTTTCTCAGTCCCTTGTGAGCCCCGGACAGGAAACTCCTGCATGGCCTGCTTTGGGATGGACATAAAGCCGCGAGTCATATCCGTTCACCTTGATGGGTTCTGATCCAGGGGAGGAAAGTATCAGACTTCTTTTCCAAGAGGGCACTGACATAAACTGCTGGTCCAGAGACACACCTGTTTACAACTGGCATTCCTGTATCTGAGGGCCACGTGCCCTGGTGGTGAGTCTCCCTCATGAGATGCTGATGCCGTGCACACCGGGACAGGAATCAAGCTTCACCACGCTTTGCGAGCATCGGTGACATCGCCCCAGTCTCCATGCATGTGTGTGGGACACGCATGCGTGTGCACGCTCTCCCTCTGGGTCCCACGGGGCCTCGGGGTGGGAGGTCATCACAAGGACGCCTTAAAGAGGCCATGCGCACACATGTGCCACACCCTTGAGGCCCACAGGTGGTGCTGGGGGAGCCAGGGCAGGGTCTGTGGGCGACTGGCCGGGTGGGCGCTGTGTGTCCCCGGCAAGCCAGGCCCTCGGGTCGCCAGCTGTCTCTGGGAGACCATTGCTGGGTAATTGTATGAAATCATGTATAAACTGCTGAGGACTTACAGGCACATGTGTGTTATCACCTAAGTAAATAACTTTATAAGGGTTGATACCCATTTCGTAATCACATACGTCCTATACGTTTTTCTCTACCTATCATTCATTAAACTCTGCATTCACTGCATTAGGGGCTGCACTGCGACGGGACCGATCTGGGGCGCACGGAGCATCAGAGCCCGTGTCTTGGCCCAGGGCGCACAGCTAGGCTCTGGGGCCCAGAACCCACCGATGGGGTGACAGCCAGTGACCGCTGGAAGCGCTGCCCTCCTGCATTCCCCTTCAGCTGGACGCCTGCTCTTCTGCTCTGACCCCGAGTGGGACGGGAGAGCGGGTGGTCCCCCCTCACGGGGAACCGGCTCTGCCTGGCCACCAGCTCTCAGGTGGCGTCACTCCCCAAACCTCCGGGGGAATGGCATCTGCAGACCCGAGCCTGCCCTGCGACAGCCTGGGGCATGTTAATGCAACCAGCTGGGTGCAGACAAATCTGGCCCAGGGCACTCTGCTCCTTGACCCTGTGCTCTATCTCCTATGAAATGCATTTCCACAAAGCACACGTCACGGTCAATTCTTCGCTGTAGGCCCCCCACACCGTGCTGTTATAATACAGGCATCGGCCCGTCACCTCTGGGGCCTTCGATGACGGGCAGCTGCGCTCTGAGCACCTTCCGAGCCTGTGAGCTGCCACCACCTCCCAGCAGCGCCCGGGGCTGACCCACGGGCCGGCCACACGGGCTCTGTCCCCTGACAGCACTGAGGCGCTCGCAGTCCCCATGGCAGACGCGATTGGGCCTCCTTGCCCCTCCTCCCGCCAGGTCGGTGACCCGGAGCCCGGGCAGGGGCGGATGCACGGCCTTCTGGGCCTGCCCTCTCTCCGTTTAGTGTGCTTCTGTTTTACCTGACGACTGGCCCATCAGATTTTGAGCTTCTTCGGAGGAGTGTAAAGGCAGCTTTTCTCCTGGAGAGCAAAGAAGAGACAGATTTAATGTTTTGCCCTCAAGGAGATAAGCAAGGTCACTTCAACTAGGGAAGCTCAAAATCTGACTGGCGCATGCACAGCAGACCAGCGTGTCCAGTGTGTGGTCACCTGCACGGCTGCCGAGGCGATGCCCTGCCCGTATCAGGGAGGAAGGAACGCCCGGCTGGCCAGGCGCAGCGGAGCGAAGGCCCACCCCCACCCTCGTGCCAAGTGGGTGCCGATAGTGACCATGCCCTGGGCTGGGGGCTGGCTCATCTCAGTTCTCCCTGGGGCGGGGCCGGGTGCCGTCCTGGGCAGGTGTCACTCCTGGGCTGGCACGGGCCTCCTACAGGAGGGCATCCCGTCTGCTTGTCTGAGCTCTTGCTCCTGGAGAGAACAGGCTTCGGGGCTGGCCAAATGGATGTGCTCAGCAGGAGGGGCCCTCCCAGGATGCCTGTGCGCAGCGGAGGGCAGGCGTGGACCCTCGAGGCAGCAGACGTCGCTTCGCAAGAAGGCCATCGTGAGGTGACCAGCCTACCGCAGTAGACACACAGACCTCCCCGCCCGGCCCTCTGCAACGTGCACACTGCTGCGTGTCTACACTGCGTCCTCGGCATCCTCAACTAGAACTGTACCTGTTTTGCTCGCCACCCTGAATAATGACAGTTCAGAAAGAGAGTCCCCAGGTGAGAAGAGAGGAGGTCAGAAAGGGCAGCTGGGTACGTACCGGGGAAAGCGGGGTTGGTCTGTCCGAGGGGAGGAAAGGGGGTTTGCTGCATGGCCAGCTGGTGGAGCTTGGTCAACTGCTGGGGTAGGAGGGACATGAGAGCTAAGAAGATTATTGTCATCGAGCACAAGTCACACCAAATTAAAAAGGCAGTAACAGAACGTTGTACAAATAGATATAGAGGGGGCCATGCGGACACATGGCAGACGCAGCAGAACACAAGGACTTGGCCTGGGAAACCAATGGGCCACTGGGCGGGCGCACCCAGTTCCTTTCCTCTCCTGGGCTCCCTGGCAGCTCACATAGGCTTGGCGGGCAGCGACCCCCAGACTGCATGCAGGCGAGGGAGGCCAGCGGAGGCCACCAGGCCCCTCGGCTCGGCGGGGAGGGTCTGAGAGCCACAGAACAGGACCTGCTGGGCCCCTAGGGGCTTCAACGTCAGGTCATGCTGTCCTCACAGAACACACGCACCTTGTGACTGATGCCCCCTTCTGCAAACCTGGCCCAGCCCCAGCCCCAGCTAGGCCTGGACCTCGTCCTGGGCCAGCCCTGCCTCCCCTGCAGGGCCTCCCCAAGCTGGTCTTCTGGGACTCCCAGGATCACAGAATGTAGTGCTGGAAGGTTCTGTAGGGGGCAGGTGAGCGCCTCCAAGAGGCTGTGAGGGCTGTTAGAGTCTCACAACTACGACCAGGCCGCTCTCTCTCCCCTTTTCCCCCACCTACTGGGCTTTCTTCAGTTGTTTTTACCTGGGCCTCATTTCTTTTTTCTTTCTTTGTTTTTTTAACTAGGCTCCACGCCCAGCCCAAGCCTGATGCGGAGCTTGAACTCATGACCCTGAGATCATGACCTGAGCTGAGATCAAGTCAGACACTCAACCGACTGAGCCACCCAGGGCGTCCCATCTGGGCCTCATTTCTTAAGTAAAAACCCCAAACAGCAGAAGGTAAAGGTAAACGTGGTGAGTCCTGGCCATATTTTGGGAACTGAAGGCTAATTGCTGGACGCTCAGAGGGATGCCCTCAGCCTAGCTCACCTGCAGGGCCGACACCGCACACTCCGGGAAGTGCACTCAGCTCCTAACCTCCTCCTGACAGCAGGCCCATCCCGAGGGTGTCCCAGCTCTGCTCTGGGGCCGGCCCTGGACTCCTGTCTGGAGGCGAGGACGGGGCCTCCCTGGAGCCCCCGGGGTCAGCGGGCGGGGCACACAGGGAGGAGCTGGTGTCCCCACTGGACACAGGTGTGTCGGGGAGGCGGTGATTGTGTCCGAGACACAAACACCCGACGCCCAGGAGCCTTCACAGATGCACCTCGAAGAGAGGAGCGGGTCGCTGTGGGCCTTCAGCAACTTAGCCCCACACAGAGATGAACAGCAGAGCCCCTTCCAGCTTGAGGAGGACCATGGCTGCCCCGTGTGCCGTGCCTGTGGGCGCAGTGCGGGCGCAGGGGTGCGCGGTGCGTCGGCGCTCTGTCCAGCTCTTGTAGCTCCCACAGCGCGAGGTGTGTGGACCCCAGCTGCAGCTGGGAGCCAGGTCACGGCCATCTGTGGCCTCCTGGTCATGCCTTCGAGGTGGAACCTCTGCCGTGTGAGCCCCGGGATGTGAGGCGGGCCGCTGCTGCAGCAGAAGTGACCACGCCTGGTCTCTCCTGGCCGGCCCCCGTGACACAGCTATCAGAGGGCCTCCCTCTCCCCCTCTCTTCCTGGAGAGGGCAAGTGCCTCTAAATGCAGGCTTCTCCCTGTCTTCTGGGGTGCTCCCTGACCTGTGGCTCTCGGGGGGGGCCTGCCCAGGGAGCACCGGCCACATTGACTCGATGAGCCCACTCTGGGGGCATCTGTCATGCCCCGGGGTCCTGAGAAGCACAGGTTAGGGGGTGTGGTGACCTGGAGTCAGGTCCAGCAATGACAGTCCCTGATGAGGTGGTGCGGGTCAAGGGTGCACCTGGGGCTGAGGGCTGACCCTGCACCTGTCACGTCTGCCCCATGACCTAACACCACTGAGCTTTCTGACCTGAGCAGCCACTCGTCGGAGGCCCCTGAGGAAGATGCCAGAAGAGCACACCCAGGGAACACCATCATGGGGACACCCGCTGAAGTGACAGGGACAGGAGGTGACACGTGGCCTGCACCCGCTGTGCCTCAGGCAAGATGACCCTGCAGGAAAGGGGCCTGGAGGTCAGAGAGCCTGCTGCATGGCCTGGGCAGCCTAGCGAAGGCTCCTCTTTCAGGAACAAGTGGGAAAGATGGCAAGTACCCCATGGCCCCCTGGGGTATGAGGAATGAGGAGAGGGTGAGGCTGTCTGTGGCTGGGGAGCTGCCTGGGAGCCAGACCGCACAGACCTGGTCCCGGGAGCCTGCGTCTGGCTTGATGGGACCAGGAGTCACAGCGGCCGCAGGCCCGAGCCCCAGCGGTCACCTGGCAGGGGTGCGCCTGAACCCACCTTCAGGCGGAGCTGGAGCCTGGCTAAGGTTTCAAGGCGGTAACTACGAGTTCCTAGGTCGGAGGAGAAGACCCCACTTCTGGAGACAGCACGTGGGAAGCTGAAGCACAGAGGCTGTGCGAGTCGGGCTCAGGGCTGCCGGGCGGTGGGGGGCTGGGCATGCAGTGTGCTCTGACCGCCACTCGGGTTTCCATGAGACGCAGAGCTCACACAGGGACAGTGGCCTGGTGCATGACCAGCCCCCTGAGGGCTCCAGCCCTCTGCCCAGAGGACGGGCCAGCAGGGAGCCTGGGGGTGACCCTGGGGCCACGAGGTCTGTTGGCCTGGCTGCTCGGGGCTCTTGTCCTGCCACCTCTCCCGTCAGGTGCTTGTGCTCCTCCCATGGGCAGAGTCCTCTCCTGTCTGTCCCGAGGCCCCAAGAGTGCACAGCTGTGTGTTGGTCAGGACCGCAGGGGACAGCAGTGGAGAGCGGGGCCCTGGCGGCGGAACTGGCCTGGGTTAGCTCCAGCACCAACCAGCTGGGGAGGACAGCTCATCTGGTCTCCGCAGACCTCCGTCCTGATCTGTAGGATGGGGGAATCAGGAGAGCAAGCGGCCGGCCACCAAGTGCTGTCCACCTCAGCTGGGGAGCATCACCATCGAGAACAACCTGGGGCTTCCCCACCCACCTGTCCGCAGCTCCGTTACCTCAATGCTCCCCTGGTGTCTCCATCACCTCCCTGGCAGGTAAGCAAATGCGGTGCGTCCAGCGGGTTGGCACAGAGCCCACGAGCACACGTGCTCCAGGCGCAGGCGGACGAATGCTCCCTGAGGCTGGAGCATCAGCAGTCCTGGCCCTAAGCTCTCCTACTGCCAGGCACTGGGTGCTTTTCATGAAGAAACGGCCACCCCAGCGGTGAGTCTCCCTCCACCCATGCACCAAGAATGTAAAGTGATGTCCGGCGGAGACTGGCTGGGCACACGGTGGTCCAGCAAGCAGACGGGCAGAGAGGCGGATGGATGGTGTCAGCTGGCCTCCCTCTTGTCTTGGTTCTGTCCTTAATTAGTCCAGCACTTCATCTCCTTGGGATGTAATTTCTACATTTTTTAAGGAAGGAGCAGAAAAAGTGCTAAGGGGATTCCTACTTTTTGAGACATTTTTGCCATTAAAAAATCAGACTCCCAGTACTCACAAGTGCCTCCAAAACACTGGGAGGGAGGGAGGCAGGGTGGAAGGAAAGGGAGGGCGCAGGGGGAGGGAGGGGCAGGTGTCCTGAGATGGACGGCTCTCTGTCCCTTGTCTTTTCCACTGAAGGTTGGATTGGAATAGAAAAACAGACAAATCCTAAATGCCGACAAAGGCTAAAACTCACTGAGTTATCACAAGACGGGCGCGCTCTGCATCTGCCACTCACTGTCAAGAACAGACCACTGTGTGGGCTCAGGCTGCGTTCATGTTTCCTCTCCTGTGAAATGCTTGTGTCTTTGCCCGTTTTTCTATTGGGTTGACTTTTGCTCAATCACAAAAACTCCTTTTATATTTCAGATATTAATCCTATTTCAGTTGTATGTGCTAAGAAGATCTTTTTCCCACTCTCCTTTGGTGTCTTTAGAGAAAGATAATTTTTAAATTTTAATGTAGTCAAATTCATTTATATTTTCTTCATGGTTTGTGCTATTTTGTTTACGAAACCTTTCCCTGACTTGAGAACAGAAGGATCTTCTCTATTTTCTTCTAAAAGTGCTGATTTCCTCCCTTGTGTTGACGTTCTTGACACATGAGAAGTGTTTGGGTCATTGTTCCCACACGGATGACCACGGCCCGTCCTCGCCCCTGCCATCTGCACCGGCAGCTCCCTGGCCGGCGTGGGCAGGCCCCGGCTCTCTGGGGGGCACACTGGCCCAGGGTTGCCCCCGGCGCCCAGACCCCGTCTCCAGCAGTACGGCTCCACGGCCAGTCCCTGCATCTGTCAGGACAGCTCTCCCAACCGTCTGTTCTTTTCATAGGTATCTTGGTGATTCTTGGCCTTTGCTCTTTCATATAAATTTTAAACAGCATGTTAAATCCCTGTCAGGATTTTGACTGGAATGGTACTGCATTTGTACCTCGATTTGGGAAGAATTGACGTATTAAAGATATTTCATGTTCCTATCCATGAAATTGGTATGTTCCCCCCCTCCTTTTTTTTTTGTTTTTGGGCTTCTTTAACTTTCAATAAAGACAAGTTTTTTTTTTTTTTTAAGTCATCTTTTAATTATTGATTTCAACTTAATTGCTTGGTGGTGAGAGTATAGCCTCGATGATTCCAATTTTTGGTAGATGGTGAGTTTTCTTTACAGCGTAATGTGTGATCCAGGAATGTAGACTTTTCTGGGACTTACTTCCCGTTGTGTAGAATTGGGTTCAAGCTGTATCAGTCACAGCAGAGTCATGGGCAGGCTCCCTACATGTCTGTCAAATTTTAACAAACCTTTATGTTTTGTTAAGTTTTTCTTTACATGTATTTGAAGATATGTTTCAGGTGCATACAAGTTTTGAGTTTATATCTTCTGGTGAACTGAGCCTTTATCAATACGTAAATGACTATAAATATAGAATTTGCCTTAAGGTTTTGTTTTCCCCCACTGATATTAATGTTGGTATGTAAGGTTTCTTGCGG